TGGTTCATCCTTGGTCCGTGATAGAATCACTTTGCCATCTCCTGACTTCGCTGAAATCCTAAATAAATCATAATTCAGATTACACTTACAGACACACATATTTAGAACTATCAATGAAGCATCCATGGGAACTAGAAGCCTCAGGAGAAAGGAGGGTTTCTACCAAGCTTTTACTTCATAAGGTTCCCGAGGTGTTTCCCAGCTTTGTCCTTCTTCTATAACCTGTTTAAAATTCCAAAACAATCCTTTCACTTATTACATCTAATACATTTTAGTTCAATAAGCCATTTGAAACCACATCTCGCTATAAAAATTCTTATTCTGTAGTTGCACTATGCTTGAAAATTGTAAGCTAACAAAATTGCAGCTTATTACACTGATTACAGCATTGAATGAAAACACCAGATAGTGATCAGACACAGATGCACAAGTACACATCTTACACAAGTGTTCAAATAGATTACTGAGGGTGTGGGTGTGGGTGTGGGTGTGGATGAAGGAAAAATAACTGTTAAGCAGCAAGCTGTGTACCTTCTTTAGGACTCCCAAATCATCAGTGATCACCTGAGAATGAAAATGAAAAAGATTAGTTTTTTGAGACACATCCTACGATAAATAAAACTACCAAAATTTCTAAAAGAGAGGGAAAAGTAGGAATTCAAAGGTCTGACAGAAAAGCTTTCACGTAACTTCAGGAAATCTAGTGCTGATCTGAAAAGGAAAGACATTAAATGTTTGCTAACAATTTCTTCTAAGTAGAAATTTCTTTTTGTAGTATTACCACTCTTCTAGTAGCAATTTGCAACAATCAGATGCAGTAAAAAAGATAGGAATACCATACTACAACAACAACTACACCTCAGTCCCAATCAAGTTAGGGTTGTCTATATGAATCACCACTTCTTCATTTAAGCTCATTTCATATAACCATCATACTAAACAAGGGACAACATAAGTGATATCAAGAGGTACCATAGTACGGAATAAATAGCAGCACATACAGCTCCAACAAGGCTATGTAGGCACTAATTCATATGAGTACAGGACAGAAATTCCAAGAAACTAGAGGAGCAGATTGATATGGATTGCAACTTTCATTTCATTGTCGTTAAAAAGGATGTAGGAGCATTCTTGCCTTCACTTTGGAGAATTCAATCAGCTCAATCTCAAAATGAAGCTCAGAATCCTTGGGAAAGTTGTCTGGAGCTGCAACTGGACAATCCTTCTCTCCATAGTGCATTTCGGGTTTCATTTTGAACTGAGGTAACATTAGGCAACAAACAGTGAGCTATGAATATGATTTTTCATATCATCCATGTAAAGATGTAAGAACAAAGAGAAAATGAATTCACAAGCTCATATTAAGGGGCATATGAAATGATCAGAGATTATTTTTTCTATTTTATCCCCTTTAACAGCATCTAAATATTGGACACGTATTATATTCTGAAGAGGTTACTAAAAAAGTAGATTTAACATGTTCTTGTCATGAAACTAATAAGAAATTACTGGAGAAAATACAAAAATCTTCACAATTTTGAGATGATTTAGCAGAGAAATATAACATGTTATGAATTGTTTACTTTTGAAGGACTTTAAATATACAGATTCGGGTCGCAATAACTTAATGAAAAGTTCAAAAGTATATACCATTGCAACTTCACCCTTCAACATTGTTGGAATCCCCTCCAGCAATCCTAAAATGATCTTGCTTTTCCCAATAACATACCTTATTGGGGTACCCTTGCCTGAGTAATAAAAATGTAAAAGAGAAGAGATTTCAATGCATTAAGGCAAGATTGGCATACTCCAAATTACAGAGTTCATGTTCAGTATATTTAAGAGAGTGTAAAACTAAAAAGTAGCGCAATCATTCCAAGAAACGGAGTTTTAAAAAAATTACTGAAATGATGGCAACCGAATGCACAGTTCTAGTGCAACGATGGAAATACGACTGAGTTAATTTATATGACAAAATCAAAATGTAGAAGTGAAGATTTTATCTGTAAATCTTATCAGCATATATTTATTTGTGGTACTATTTTATTACTCAGTATTCTGTATTCCAGAGAAGAATAATGAAGTAAGCAGCATGTTTATATCCCTAATCCTTCTGCATAAGTTGTTTCCCCTAAAACCTATAGCTTCTCAAAGGTTCCACATATCAACCCTACCTCCAAACTCTGACCGTGTCGATTCAACTGTAACTCCATCCAGTGTTCTAACTGTACAATGATATATTACCTGTTCAAATTCATCAAAAACATAATAAGTAACCAATATTTTTTTCCTACCTAGAACTCACAGAAGCTGGTTTTTGCATCAATATGAATCCTCATCATCATCACAAACACATAATTCAGAAAATAAAATGTACAAGTATACCTGATTACCCTCAGCAGGTTTTGATTCACCACCACCAGGCCTCACAATAGCTTTCATCAAACTTCCAGGAACAATCTTTTTTCTTCTGCATACAAGTCATCATTGAACAAAATGTGAATAACAGTAGGTAGTAAAATGTAGTCTCACTTATCCTTCCATATTAGTAACCGTAGTATTACTCATGTTGTTTCATGTACTTCGATTATCTTATTATTCTATTGTCATTTTTCAATGGTCTGTCATGCTTTCTATAGTATTCTGCTATCGCTTCTTCACTTACATTATTTCTTTTTCCTTGACCCGAGGGTCTATCAGAAAGAACCTCTCCACCTCCCAAGGTAAGGAAGGGTAAGGTTTGAGTACATTATACCCTCCCCAGACCCCACTTATGGGATTACACTGGGTATGTTGTGGTTATGGTTGTGGTTGTTGTTGTTGGGTCAATTCTTAAGAGAATAATGACATTTTTTTCATCCCCGGTCTCTTATTTCTTGAAAGAAACTGAACAACAGCTAAAAACACTTCTATTTTTATAAATTCATGAACAAAGTAAACTGACTTGATCCGAGGGTCTATCGGAACGTATCCTACCCTCCCCGGGCCCCACTTGTCTTGTCGGATTACACCAGCAATGTTGTTGTTGTTGTTGCATAAATAAAGTGAACTGGGTCAATTCTAATCACAATAAAAAATTGATCTTTTGTCATCCTCAGTCTCTTGTTCTTGAAAAAAAAAATGATTAACAGCTAAAAAAAAACTATTATTTTCATAAATTCATGAAAAAAAGTGAACTGGATCAATTCTTAATAGAATAAAATTTGACCTTTTATCATCCTCAGACTCTGGTTTTTTCTTTTCTGGTTGCTTAACTTGTTGCTCATGATCTTCATCAGCTACTACAGCCATTTCCCTCTAGCTACTGCAAAGTGTAACAATACATTCCAAGAACAGATTTTTATAACCAAAACTACAATTAGGATAAAAAATTGAGCAAAAACACATAACCCCACTTAATAAAAACATACAAAAATCAAGAATTTGAAGAATTACCTTATTGGGTATGTGTAAAATTGGAGTAAAAGATTGAAGAAATTTATCAAGAATGGCTAGAAAATCAAGTGGGCGTTGCTGTTTGATATTCTTGGTGACCAACTAATCACTAAAAGACTATCAAAATTCCAACTTTTGGCTCTGATTCTGTGAGTAGTGACAAAATTTAGCTGAAAATTTCGATTTCATTAGAACAAGAATGGGCTGGAGCCAGGGATTTAGTGGGCTGCTACAGTTTGACCATAACCTGCTGGACCAAAAAATATGAATATTTCCACTAGATTTTCCTAATTTTAATTTTTAGGATAAAAATAATTCTCAAATATTTTAAATAAGATTGTAATGTTTTAAAAGTATACAAAAAATTCTTTGAATTCTACTTATTTACCATTATTAATAGACGTTTGGCCATAGATATCAAATGATTTTCATTTTATTTGATTTTGGAATCATGTTTACACTCGAATGTAAAGATAACTTCATAAGCAAAAAAATGAGTTAGAAAATAACCTGTTTTTTTAAATTTGAAATACAATTTTAACTTGGATTTGTAATTTTCACCACAACTTAAGTGATTTTTAAATAAAATGAAGTATTATTTCGAAAAAAAATGAATACCCAAACAGAAAGTGTTTGAAAGTGTGTAGTTAATAGAAAAAACTCTTTGACTTTGCAAATAGTAAAAATCTTACAAATTCAGATTTTAAAACTATTTTTACTTTTTCTATGTGAACTTTTGATAGAAAAATCTGTCTATTTCTGAATATTGTTAGAAATATATTACTCCTGTTTCAATGGCTAATGCAACTAAGTTCAGTGTAGTTTCACAAGTGTATTTAGCAAAAGTAACGTCATAGAATGTTTCCTATAGACCTTCGACAATTTTTTGTTAATAACATCAGGTAAGAAATATGAACTTGCAAAAATTTAAGAAAAGCTATAGTATTAGCTAAGAGATTATAGAATGCTCTAAGTTGATATTACAAAATGACAAACTACCATAAGTGAACACAGAAAATAGTTTCATCTGGACCATATTATTCATCACACAATATTTTAGAGCCTCTTTAGTTACAATAGCTTTCGCCTCCATGTCTGTAGTAGCATGAATTTCCTCGGGCCATGTGCATAGATAAGATCATTAAACAGCCTCGCTACCCCACAAAGGCAGGGGTAAGGTCTGTGAACATTCTACCATCCCCAGACCCCACTTGTATACGTTGTTGTTATGGTGCATAGATAAGATCACTCGACCTTGCATATACAAAAGCCATAAGAACTCTTCTGAGGATTTCCTGGACATGCACTATCCATCCGTGTTGCACTTCAACCAATTCATTGGTGGAAAAGCCCGAAAAGAACTTTCTTGCAAATGGAAAAACTGTTCGGATCACATCTGTCTGCTTATCCTCCTATTTATTAAGAGACGAGAATACTCGAGATACCTTCCTATCTCTTAGTTTCAGCAGGGCTGTTGAACTTGGTATAGGTCATCTTTGAATGTCACAGCTGAAGCTTACTCATGTTCGATTTGTAGTCTCTATCACTTAAGGTAGGGGTACGGTCTGCATAGACTCTACTCTCCCCAGACCCCACTTGTGGGATTACACTGGGTATGTTGTTCTAGTTGCCGTCATATAACTCCTGCCAGATCCTCGAGGCAACTAGAGACACTTCCTCTAGGACTTTTACGCCTTTTTCTCAACTATCAGAGAAAAAAGATGGGCTTTCATCACTGCTGTATATAAAGACTGCAATCTTGATGGACTAGTTTAGGACATCTGTAAGACACCTTTTACATGACCGAGGGAAGCGCATTGACATGTTGAGATTGCAGTTCTAAAATTCTTCAACGAATGAAATGTAACACACTGCAAAACGCCAGAAAAGGAAATAAGATAATATAGATAATGAACACAGTGAAACAAGAAAGGACCAAGGTACAGGATCCCTTGCTTTAAAGAATCCAAACAACGAAAAAAAATTAATGAGAGGAAAAGGCAAAAATTAGATTGTAGCAGTTAGGGGCTATACACGCATTTGTAAAGTTGATATGTGAGCTAACTCATTTCCCTTTTGGACCAGGCCGTTTGGGCCTAGTCTTGTTATGTAAAGACTGAAGTTTCTTTTGCTTTATTTCAATAAAATCGGTCCAGTCATGGGCCCAAATTGAAAAAAAAAACATATGCCTAAAATAACGAGACTAACTTGGTTATGCAAAATCAGACATAATGAATAGTACTAGCAAAACAAACCAAAATATGTAGCCAAAAGTTCAAACCACTTCCTATATGGCATTTGACTATGGATAGGTTCCATTAAAGCATCTATATATTATTTGGATAGGTTCCATTTAAGTGTCAATATAATATTTGGATAGGCTCCATGATAGCGTCAATATGGTATAAGTACATCATCAAATCAACAATCAAACGAGAAAAGAAGACTACGATCAACATCGATCAAATAAAAAGTAAAGAATTATCATTAATAGGAGTAGACATATCAGTGGAAGTGGTAGACCCGCTCAAGGCAGTGGTGCATTTGCTGAATTAGAAACATTTGGCCTATAAGATAGTTCATGCTCTAATTGCAAAACACTCTCCTTTATTTTATTTCTCTTTACTTTGTTGTGCTAAAAATTAATATTTCTCTACGAATCAAGTAAATCATTTGTGCTTTTTGGTATACGTCTCGTATGCAGACATGTTTTGCGTCCTAACATTTTTCCTTTATCAAAAAAGTGTCTTGTTTGTGATAAGATAATAGAACAAAATATCACGCATCATTGTACACTGATACTTTTATGCACACAAGGGTCCATATAGGCTATTGGCTTTTTCTCTTTTGGTATATTATAGACTAAGAATGAATATAATCATATAACCACAAGAAGAAGATGAACAAGGACAAGTAAAGGAACTTAAGTCTTTTTCAAGCAATTTTGTGAGGTAAAGAAAGATCACCTGGCATCTATGAGGCATCCATCTTACAGCATCATTCACAAGCCAGGAGAAACTTGAGCTGATCCATTCAATATTATTTGGATAACATCTTGCATCATTCTTACCTCTGCTTCTATAAACCTCGTTTATATCTAGCCGCATGAATTAAACTACCACTCAAATAATCATTATTCACAGTGTAATTAACTTCATGGAATAAAGTTCACCTACAATAAGGCAACAGTTACGAAGCAGTCTGATCAGAACTCCAGCTAGATTCATAAACTGAAAGAATGGACTGCCTCAACTGCAATTTACAACCCAAATGCCAACATGATGAACCCCAATGTATGCGCTCGAGTGATCCATCAATACTCATAAAAGCAGGAAAGATGAATAAATTCACATTCACATAACCCCTCGAAGTTCCATGGATCACCATGAGACTCATTTCCCAAGGAGAGCAAGGGGAGCCCGCACAGTTTCATTGATTTGAGCTCTCTGATTACATGAAAGACTTCTTAGGCTGACGTTTTGAGCTCCTACTTAAGCTACCAACTAGTGAAGTATAAGTAGCATAGTCGTGAACAAGCCCCATTTCACCACGTAGCTTATCATATTCATCAGGATTCCCATGCTTGCAATGCCCTTCCAAGAGAATGTTATAGGTAATGTCATCCGGATTCAAACCTAGATTAAGCATCGCTTGTAATAGCATTTCAGCATTTCTCATCTGTCCTTGTCTGCATAGACCATTCAAGAGCACGTTGTAAGTTATAACATTAGGTGCGTGTCCATTACTTTGCATCTGCCTTAGCAACTTAAAACCCATCTTAATATCTCCCTTCTTACAAAAACCATCGATAACCACAGTATAAATGGGGTCATCAGGCTTTAAACCGACATTCAACATTTCGGTTAAAATCCTCTCTGCATCAACTGTTCGCCCTTGTCGACACAAACCTGTAATAAGGGCTGTATATGCTACATCATCAAGTTCAATTTTGTTATCAACCATTACTTTTTTTATCTCAAATGCTCCATCTAAATCTCCCTCCTTACAACATCCATCAATAACTGTTGTGTATGTGATCTTATCGGGCTTCAAGCCCTTTTCAACCATCACATGAATGAGCTTCCTCGCTTCCCCTAAATCCCCACTCTTACAAAGTCCATTGACAAGTGTGTTATATGTGATTAAATCTGGTTCCACCCCTTGCTTCAGCATTTGTTGATAAGTGTCCATAGCCAAAGCAACACTACCATCCTTGCAATGGCCATTAATCAAAGTCGTGAAAATAACAACATTAGGAACCAAACCTTTAACATACATCTCATTAAACAACTCATTCGCATCGCTCATCCAAAACTTCTTGCAAAGACCGTTGATTAAAGCACTATACGTATAAACATCAGGGGAAATTCTTCTTTCCTCCATTTCTTTTTTCAACCTATACCCTGCATCCATATCACCTAATCTACAATACCCATTAATCAAAGTATTGAAACTAACAACACTAGGTCTCAAACTCCTCTTCCACATCTCAGTAAACACCGACCGGGCTTCCATCATTTTACCTTCCTTACACAACTTACTCATCAAAACATTAAAGAAATACACATTTGCAGGATACCCATAATCCAAAAGCTCCTTATAAAAGTCAAAAGCTACCATTGGTGAATTAAGCTTCATCAAATACTCAAGAACCTTAGTACAACCTTGAAATGGGAAGTTAATTTTATGCTTTTGAATAAGCCTAAAGCACTGTATAGCATCAGAAACAAACCCCAAATCCAAATAAGCATCAATAACGCCATTCAAAATATTCACAAAAGATGTAAAGTTTGTACCTTTAGCTTTCAAGAATGCTTGAAAAACAGTAAAGGCTGAGTCTTTACCTTTTCTTGAAACAATAGTGTTGATAAAAGAGTGACCTTGTGGATACATTTTGTGGGTGTAAAGAAAAAGGGTCATAGTGGAATAAGTATGAAGTGTGTGGCAAAATCTTGAAGGGTTGGAAGTTGAAAGCCATGTGAAGAAGGAGAGAAGAGAAGAAGGGGTTAAAGAGTGAGGATTAAGGTTAATGAGGTTGATTATGTGATGAGGTTTAAGAGATGGAAGGAGGGGTTTGAGGGAAACTTGAAGGGGTTTAGAAGGAGAGTTTTTTATGGCTTCTGAGAGGGTTTTGAGTATTGGGTCTGTTGAATCTTGATGGTGGTGGGGTGGGGGTGGGGGAGGGGTGAACCATGGAGGGGTGGTGGGGGTAGTGGTGGAGAGGTGGTGTAAGGGAGGAGAAAGGGTGTTTTTTAGTGCTTTTCTTGAGCTGGTCATTGTGAACATCTCTGAATTGTTTGTTTGAGGTTCATCAATGGGGTAATAATAGTAAACCACTAAACCAAATTTTTAGAAAATAATAATAATAATTTTAAAAAATCAAATATTTGTGTATATTCCAGTTTAAGATAATAAGTCTCACATCCACAAAACACAAACATGTTCGGTATATAAGTAAACAAGTTTTATCCACTAGTGACGCATTTTAAAGTCGTGCGGGCCTAAGCCCATAGCGGATGCCAAACAATCATTAGCGGGTTGGGCCGTTACAAATTATCTGTCACTCCTATTTGCGGTGGGGCAAACCTTAGTGTCCTACTAAGTAGGTCTTACCCGGTAGTGATATATTTTAAAGTCAAGCAGACCTAGGTCCAAAACGGACAATCATTAGCGGACTGAACCGTTACAACTTTGCTCTTCAAATGAATTGAAATTTAAATTTTATTCTTCAAAGAGGAAGGTCTTTAATTTCTATCTTTAGAAATCAAACTTATGTATAAAAGAGTAAATTATTGAAGGATGCATTATTTATAAAATATTATGATGTAAGATTATAAATTCATGCAATACGAAGGAAGAAAAATAAAAAAACACATAAAATAAGAGCAAAAGTGCAAATCAACCAAAAAAAGAAAAGAATATGAAGTTGTTAAATGAGCAAGTTAGGCTAAAGTTGTGTGGATTAAAGCGGATTAACTTAGACAATAGACGAACAATTTGTTTAAGAATTTGCAAAGTTCTTTTAAAAAATTGAGCTTGTTTAATTGAAGTTAATGTTTAGGTTAAAATGAATGGATTACTTTGAAGTTTTCGCTAATTTATGGGTCATAACTTAATCCGTCTAACTCAAAATCAATTTTGTTTTTTAGAATTTATTTAATTACTAATTTTTGTTTTGATTAAAAAATAAAATTACCCAAGAAAATAAATTAATAAGTCTAATATTATGTTGATACTTTTAAATGGATTTTACACTTTATTTAGAAAAAGAAACATTTGTCTCACTCTTTCTACCTAATGGTCATGTTTGAGAATGAATATCAAACATTCATTAAATATTTTATAGATTAAAGCTAAATAATGAATCATATTCATTAATTAATTTAAATATGAAAAAATCGGATATCTTCCAATTTTATCGCTTCATTTAAAAAGTTATCTTGCTTCTTGTAGAAATAAATATATGAAAAATTATTTTCTATTTTAGCTGTCGACTAATTTATAGTTGTGTTTATGGGCACTTTTGACTCCACTTCTTTAAAACATTGACAGATCAGACCCCACATAAAAGCATTTATTATGGTACCATGCAGAGATATTATTCAAATTTCAAGTTATATAAGAGAAAAGACATAAAAGACATCATCAAAACTTTCCCGTTTTTACGTAAAGACACTTTAACTTTCAAAGTGTCCTATCACTCCACATAATTATTTAATATCTTTGTAAATGGGACATTTTGACCCATTCCCTCGTCTGGGTTGTTACCACGCACATGAGGCGCATCATGCAGTGTTTTCACTGCCATGGACCAATTTAAAAGTATCACGTGTCATTTTTTTTTCTTTATTAATAATTATTTAATTAATTTATGTCATCTTCCCCAAATTTAAACCCAAAATAGCAGTTGGTAGTCCTAATTTTTCGATTTCATGATTTTTTCCATAGCAAAATCAACGTTGGTGCTCTCTGTTTGACGACTTCATCATCTTCCCCAAGAAAATAAGATACCACTGTTGGCTAAGATCATTCTGGTTAGGACTGCTTCTTAATCGGATCTGATTTCTCCTTAGATTAAAAAAAAAAACAAATCTATTTCCATGTTTCCATTAAAATCAACACTCAAGCACGACCAAAGCTCACCTTGAAACTCAAGGAAGAAGTGAAAAGCTTATACCATCTAATTGAATAATGGCACGAAGATCACATGAAATTTTATGATGAACTCTTTGTTGATTATTCAATTTCGCTAATTGTAACTTTTAGGGAAATTTTTGCATCAAGGTGGATAAGACAACTAACAGTAATAGTGCAGTAATTTGCTCTACATTCCCAATTTCACTGCACTATTTTTCTTAGTTTTTGCTTCAAAGAATAGGGTCGGGTCGGGTTGAATTCTATCATAGGAAGTGAGCAACATGCGCGACTACATAGACGAGGGAATGGGTCAAAATGGCCCATTTACAAAGATATTAAATAGTTCTGTGGGGGATAGGACATTTTAAAAATTAAGGTGCCTTTATGCAAATATGGAACAACTTTGATGGTGTATTTATGTTTTTTCTCGTTATATAATAGCAACTTGTCACCACATGTTATATATATATTGCAATAAATGAAAATGGAATTAAATTCTCAATCTCACAAACTTAATTAAAAGTTTTGACTTTGAATTTTGAGTATAAATTGTCTTTATGAGGAAACTTGGTAATTCAATATAAAAAATTTCGCCATGAATTGAAATTTAATCGAGTCATAATGTAAATTTTATCGAATATCGATAATAATAAAAAAATCTAAACAAGAATGTAGTCGCAATTTAATTTCTAAATGACAACTAAATAGAAGACTAAATGTAGAATCCAATACAATGGATGGATGAAATTAGTTCACCTCTAATCATATATTTCGAATTTGAGGCATTACGTGTTTGAGAGTGTTTTCCTTACGTTACGCAAACATTAGAGGTGGAATCGAACCTAATATTTTCAATGTGAAACATAATATATACATGAAAACACATTACAATTACAACTATCACATCCAAACTCACAAAGATATATATAATGAATTCAGCGATAAAAACCTTCAATTATATCAAATTTAAATCTTGAATCTGTCTCTGACCAATACGACATAACCAACTAGACATGCTTACTCCATGGCCGGCAAGTGTTAAACTTCACCACCGGCGCCGGTGACTTTTCCGGCAACCGTGAATTGTTGTAAACACTTTTCTCCACCACCACAACATCATCATATGAACTTGTAACACACATATTCATCTTCATCATTTTATAATATCTAAACAATAAAAAACCTTTAAAAATCTTAAACTTTTTCTCATGACTACTCTTAATTATTTTCTCTTTAGAACTATTTTCTATGTATTTTTCTAGTTGACTTGATATTCTATCAATCTCATATTTATCAAAAAGAGAAATCTTATTACTATTTAATTGTACAATTGGAATAAAAACATTAGGTGAAGATGACAATTCTTGAACTTCGTTAATAACTTGTAATTTGTACCTTGATGATGGTTCTTGAGCCTTTTTATAATTTCTTGAAAGTACTTCAAATTCTTCATACCAATTAGCCAATGTTGTTGATTTCACTAGAGATAAATCATCAATATTGTTAGTACAAATTTTTGATGATTTTTTTATGTGGAAAGATGAAGATGACATGATGTTTTCTTGAAAGAAGAAGAAGAAGAAAAAAGAGTGTATATTTTTCTTTTGGATTTGGAAATAATGAGAGTACTAAAAGTTTGACACTTTTGTATGTATGAGGAAAAGTAGTTGGTTGCTTTTCCAAATGCTTACTAGTGTCGGGATGGTCAGTGAAGTGGTTGAGATCCTAAAATTTCAGGTTTAAAATTCAGCAGAAAACTTTTTTATAAGTTGATTCTTTTCATATGTCCTAGCTTTGATGGACCTGATATATATTGTTGATGGAAGGTGACAAATATTTTGTAAAATCAGATATACATAAAAGTTGGTCCGGACGTCACGATCATTAAAATAAAAGGGAAAAATAGTTGTTTGCTTTTCCAAATGCTTACTAGGGGTAAGATCGTGGACAACTTCTTCAGATTTTATTTATGTAAGATACTAAATATGTTGTTTTTGTAACTAGAGTGCAAAAGTATTGTGCATTTATAGAGTAAAAGATATTTTTATAAAATAAAGCTCTTTATAAGTCATCAATAATTACAAATAAACATTACTAATTGATAATTCGATAAAGTAATGACTTATAACTTGATATGTTTTATCATTAATAGTATTAAAAGAATATTTGTAGAGTTGGTGTCTATAACATAAATCCTTATTATTTACTCTTACCCTATTTTTGTCAAGATTATTGATAGAGTGAAATTATTTACGCAATCAATTTAACTTAATTTGGCATCATAAATTACGTATTACTCTACTTTGGATTATGATATAAGTTTTGATACGAGAAGTTATATGTTGTTATGAAACGACGTAATTGAATAATATGAAAAAATATAAATATTATCAGTCTGCAAAGCTTAAATTTTAAAATAATATATTACATAAAGTTTTTTGTCATGTAAATGTTTTAGAATAAAACTAATAAATCTACCTAAAAGTGCACTGGCTAACGTCTACTTTGACTTTTGAAAGTGGAATTACTTTAAGCAATACATGATGATTTTCATTTAGCTAATCACAAAATTTTCTAAATATTTTTATGATATATCACGAAATATTTCGAGCTTAAATTCAGAAAATAAAATTAACTTTGATAAGTAACATTTTATTTTCATTTTAAAAGAGAATTTTTTTATATAAATTTGAATTGATCAAACTCTATAATATCGAATATTGAATGAGAAATAACTAAAAAAAACAAACTCAATATTTCCGTTACTAAAGAGAAGCTAGAGCCTTAGAGGGTCATAATTGTTATGATGTACACATTAATGTGTATATTTAATTTGAATGTACCAAAAAAACTATAGTATTAAATTTAATTGAGTCATTTTGGGGCCCTAGAATGACTTTTTTAGGTGAGAAACTAATTATATTGGGGCCACTCACTTTCATAAAAATTCTAAGAATCTATTTCTAAGAGATATTACATTCACAATGATGACAGATTTTTTATTTACATTGACTCGGCCTTTAATGCTTTCTATTTTTTTCTATCGATTATTTTAAATTTGTGACACGTACGATTTACTAAAAAGAGAAAATCACTAATTTCAGAATTTCATTTCATATTTTAATTTGAATAGAGACGGTTGATTAAGA